GCTCCGCCGTCCAGCCCGTGCCGCCATCTTAGGAGGGCTCTGCCCGCCCCTGCAGAGGCGCATGCGCGGGGACCAGGTCGCCCCTCAGGCGGCTGCTCCGGGGGGCGTCGATCCCCTCTGGGCCGGGGTGGGTCGTTTGAGGCCTTGGATGCTCGGGCCCTTTGAGGCGACCCGAGAGGAGGTGAGGACGCCTGGCGCTGCGAGACCTCTCCCGGCTGAGGTCACCCGTCAGGGAGAAGCCCTGGCTGGCTCGCCGGAGGCTGCGGGGCTGGCCTTCCTCCCCTCTGCGGCTGAGGGGAGGACTGTGGGAATTCAGGTGGACCCAGAGAAGTTGACTTGATTAATACACGGTGTCTTATCAACCGATCAGAGTGCCATGCGTTCACTAGGGTCTTCTGATACTTCTAACTTTTAAAAGAGGGGGTAAAAGCACACACCGTTTCAGAAAGCATGGCTCATAATGTACATTACCTTCCCGAAAAGAACCAGAGGAGCTTTTGTAATGGTGTCACCTAGCAGAGCTGAGAAGTGTGTGGACACTTCCACGGAGCTTTGGTGAGCTGAATGACCGGTCCGTGACCAGCCCTGAGCCCAATGTTCATGCCTTCGCCTTTTTGAAGTAGGACTATTACTGGGAATGAATAAATATTTACTAAAAGCTATACAGCTAGCAGAACAGAGACCTGCGATACTCGGTGTTGGGTGTTTTTGTAGCCTTTCCCCCAAACCTCCCCCAGACGACGGCCCGCGGCTGCGGCAGGGCGTGCGAGGCATCGGCGCGAAGCTTCTCCGAGTGGCGCGGCTGTTCCGGGAGAAATGAAGTGCAGCTTGGAGGGGGGGTTAGATAGGATTACTTCGAAAAATTAATTGGAGCACAGCATAAACTCCAAGGGCAGCCTTCACTGCACTAGCGCATCCTGTCCAGTGTCATGAAGAAACCACGCGTTCCTCAGCAGATGTGAAAATCCATAACAGCTTGCTTCCTTGCTTTGCTTTTAACTGTTTAACTTAAGTAATGTGTTAGGTAACCATATTATTGTAATTTAATTTGAAACTGGGCTGGATTCATGAAGCTTTTTGTCTTGGGCTACCTAAATCATTTTGTTTTTCTTTTGAGTAAATGCATCAAGATGCAATTATTAAATTGTAACAGAATAAAACAGGTGATTCACTAGATTATTACACTGGAGGAGAGAGCGCTGCTGACTGAGATAATAGTTCATGCACAGCTCTGTCTTGTCAAGTACACAATACACAAGGTTATGCATGTTCTCTACAAAACTAATTTGGCCAAGTGAGAGCACACAGCCCACTTTTTTCTGCTTATACATCATAAAATCAAATTAGATGTTTACAAACGTAAAATTACTTGTAACTGTAAGCTTAAGTTCTAATTCTACGGATACAGTTACTGAACTGATGAAGGGCAGTGCTGAGAGAAATTCATACTTGCAGATCTTCTTCTCTACACCTTAACCCTCTGCAGAGAAAGAGGAAACCAAACACAAAGCATGAGAAAAGGGAGAAGACAAAAACAGAGGGATCAGACTCAGTTACTCCTCCCCCGAGGCTTTCACCTTGCCCTTAATATATAATCAGCCCCAAAGTCTCTCACTACCTTTGAATCAACCACCTGCTTTCCTGCAGCCTCTACAACAAAAATCCTTCAGCTCATTTTTGAGAGCAGGCTTTTCTCACCAAAACTGGGAGAGAAAATAATTGTCTGCTATTTCTTTCAGCGCGGCAGGAAAATGAGTAAGTGTGAGCAGAAATGGCGTGGAAAATAAAAAAAAAAGAAAAAAGTGTGTGCTCAAGCATTAGATAAATCACTGGAAACACTCTATGTGTTTTACTGTTTACAATAAGCGCTAGACTGTTCCAAGGGAAGGATTTCAATTAATTGAATCTTAGACAAATCACACTATGTTAAAGATGTACACCTTTCTGTAATCTATGATTTCCATAGTAGGCAGGATATCCTGATTTTGTTTTTTTTACAATACCTGCCAACGATGCTTTTTCCACTGCAATACAAAGTTCCTCTTTCTTCTTAAATTCAGCTTGAGCTTCTGGCAGTCTTTCCAGTAACACATGCCTGTTCCACGTCATCATCTGTCATCATCTGTCATCTTGCTCTCCTTTTATATCAACAAGAGTTACAAGAACATGTGATAAAATAGCTCATTCAGACTGCAAGTGGCTTATTTTTCCATTTGAAGCGCCTTCCTGCTACCACCATCATCAAAGTCTGCCAATTTGTTCAACAGCCTAACTGAGGAATAAAAGCTTAAGATAGCTAACAAATCTAATGATTTTCAGAAAACTCATACCGCAGTGAAAAAGTAAAATGTGTATGTCCAATGCGAGTATGTTGTATTCTACATCTATAGGAGCTGAAACTTTGCTTCCCATAGGAAGCTTACTGTGGGTTTGGTAGTTGTGCATCTGGGGGAAAAAAGGCAAACGAGAAAAAACCCTCTTCAGCAGATACAAGTAGAGGGAAACACAGGGAGGCAATTTCAGATGTTAGCAGCTGCAAAGGAAGAGATACTTGCACCAAGCATGCAAGATTGTGTAGGGACAAAGAAAAGGCTAATATGAAAATATTTTATTGATCTACCTACCATGAGGGCCAGTTCTTTACCAGGTGACGGGCCAGACACTAAGTGCCTGTCGGAGAGGTTCGTAGTGGAGCCAGGCAGAACAGACGTGCACTGTACTGGTCACAGACTCTTGGATAAAAAGAAATAATGCTGGGACAACTTCCTTCTGTGCCCAGGTGTGCCTACATGTGGGGCCATGCCACATCTTCACCGGCTTTCCTAGCACACAAGCTGGTGCAGTCTGTGCATCCTATCTGTGAGGTTAAACCCCCTGCCAGGTGGGGCATAGTATCCTTGTAGAGGTGTAATCTTACCCCCAGATTACACCCGTTTGTACTGAACTACTTACAAATGAACAGGGAGTTGGAGAAGAAGCAGTATCTAAAGGTAGTCCAACACTGCGTGAAGTCAGCCAGAAAATGCCACTAAAGACAAAAGCTGTATGCTACAGTCCGTGTTTAAAAAGGATTTCACTCAGAGTCTTTCTGCCTGCCCTTCGTGCAACGCCAGCACTCCTGGAAGGTGCTGTCCATTGCGTGAGCTCTCTGTCGTGTTCCTGAATCCACTTCTGCTTCTGATGGCAAGCTCCACTCTTAACACCCGCAGCAGCTGCACTCTCCCCTGCAGACGCTGCAGACTGAAGACTGCAAGTATGCCAGAGAGCAGGTTTCCAGTTCAAAATTCTCTTGACAAAAAGGATGCTGTTCAGTTGTAATAAAGGCAAGGTACTAGCTCAGGCAGGGGGAACCGAGCATGCGAATGCAGAAAGATCTGTAGGAAAGGACCTAGGGGCTGCTTTGGTTCACCAGCTGACAGCATACTATCACAAAAAAGGCAAACTTCATCTCAGAGATAAACAGGGCTGTCATCAGCAAGACACACGAAATGATCCTTCCCCTTCAGTCGGCAAAA